GGGTAGGGGTAGAAGCCGGTGGGGGTGGGGGCGCGGGCGTGGTGGCAGTGGGGGTGGGATAGACCGGGGTAGGAGGAGGGCTCGGCGGGAGAGTAGGAGGTGGGGTAGGGCTCGTCGGAGGAGAAACCGGTGGGGGCCTGGCCGGCACGGTGGGAGTGAGGGTAGGATAGCCCGGGGTAGGGCCAGGGCTAGGGCTGGGCGGAGGAGTAGCCGGTGGTATGATGGGAGTGGGGTTGGGATATGTGTCGCCGTAGCCGGATGCTTGGCAGGCCACGGAACCGAGCACCGCAAGCACGGCGAGAAGGGCGAGCTTTGCCATCTTCCTCTGCTCAGGTCAACTACTCTTGCTCGATCGAGGGAAGATGGGATGAAGAAAACTGGCTGTTCCGCATGCGTATTTATAATCTCACGGGGGAAATCGCATGCATGTGTAATCCGGGCGTTTGGAGAGCACGTTTGTGATGAGTCAACCAGCTGCCGGCCCCAAACGTGCTGACCACACTGCAAGTTGATGATATGTGTGACGCGGTGGCAGCGGCACGAAGATTGATAGCGACTACGCAGCCATGATCGATTGCATATATGCGTCGGCACGTTAGCAAATCAACCTGGCCGGTATATTACGACCCAAATGATAAGTCCACACATCAAGTGTGTGGCACTCCGGTGTTGACGTTTTTTTATGGTAATTTTAATTTCAGTGACACATTGTAAGTTTATGTCAAAAATGAACTGCAGCATGAACCACGAAGTTGTCATTCTTACCAATTAAAATTGTCATCCTCGCGTAACTAAGCTTGTCATAGAAAACGTTTGAGGTTATCACCTGACAAACGAGTGGTGCGGCTGCAATTTTTTCATCATTATATATCCCTGTGCCTCCTAATTGTGCGCCCAAAAGAAGTTGAGTATCCCTGTTTTGTTTATTATACTACTACTACAAGTAGAACCCTGATTTCATTTGCAAGCTAGCTAGTAGGATAACACACAGGCTGACATAAAATAATGCTTCACATACAAACGAGTTACAAGCTTTTACAAAGAAGATTAATTTGATTGGTCAATAGATGGTGAGGCGGACCATCCGCCCTGAAAATCGGAGGGTGGAGGGGGCAAGTTTATAATTGGTTAGTAGATGGAAAAAATCCTAGTCAGCGTGTAATTACGTGTAACTCTTTGTATGTTTAGCATTATTGCCTGACATACAACAGCTTGCTACATATATATATATATATACCCAAATTCAGTTCCTCTGTCGGTGCATGTGGATGTGGAGCGTGTTGACTCCGATGAGCTCTTCCTCTCACGCTGACGACCGGTCCCAGTGACGACCTCACGCAGCTGATCATGGCGTACCTTCTTCTTGAGGAGAGACCCGGCCGAAGCAGCTGCGCTCCTGCATGGTCCACACCAACTGCGCCGCCCCGCGGTGCCCTTGCTCCCCTATCTGTGGCGCCGCAGCCGTGGCCTCCGGCGCCTCCGGTGCACTACCCGCCTCAGCCGGCTCCCGCTAGCCAAGCGCCTCCGGACTGCAACTGCCAGTGCTGGCATGGCCACGCCGGCAACGGTGGTCCGCGCAATGGCAGAAACGGTGGTTAGCCACGCCCCCTCCCCTCCCGCGCATATACCATGCATGTGTCGGACCCTCTATCGTGAGTCTCCTCGGGCCCGTCCGGCCACGCACCAAGTCCAGTGCGTCGCCCGCCTACCCCGTCGCGCCCGCCTACTCTGGCGTGTCGTCACCGACGACGCTCCCGACTACTTCACGTCGCTGCCGACGGCACCACCACCATGGGACCTCGCGCTACTGACCCCACTCCTTCCCATGGCGGCGGTGGTGACTGGTGCATCCTATCATATGGCATCGAACCCCGGTAATGTCTCCGTTTCTCTTTCTCGCCACTATGTTCTCTGGCATCATCATTATTAACGGTTCCGCTCTTCCCATTACTCATACCGGCTCCACTATTTTTCCGTCTAACTCCGCCATTGTCCCTTCATAAGGTCATAGTCTCTCCACACTTAATTCAGAACTTAGTGTTTGTTCATTCTCTTTCTCGTGATAATTCTGCAGCTGTGGAATTTGATGAATTTGTTTTTTGTTAAGGATGCTCGTACCCGGATGATCCTCCGTCGATGCGACAGCCCCGGAGAATTGTACCCAATCCAGCCATCTTCATCAACTTCTTCCACTGGACCTATTGCTCTCTCTACCGGCATTGACCCCTGGCACGCACACCTCGGCATGGTTTTGGGTACCGCGCGGTAAACTCGGTTACCGCCCGGTAACCGCGTTTCTCGCTGCCCCACGATAATTAGGTATCTCGAGTAAAAAAATTTGAACTTTTTGAATTTTTTGAATTTAAACTCCTAACTTCTAGTTAAATGAGATATATCTCTAGCTCACACACAAGCTGACTTGTGTCCTACTGGTAACGATCTTCCACCAACAACAGCGCGTCATGTGTTCGAGGACGGCCGGCCGCATTTTTTTTCCTTTTTGATTTTTGAAGAATGCACGCCACACTATGTTGTAATTTCTAAAAAATTATGTGCGTGCGAAGGTCGAACTCGCGACCTGCAGGTGCGTGGCAGTGGATCAGACCTGTTACCACTGCGCTAGTAATACTGCTGCTTAGAATTGGTGCTCCAAACTTATCTATTCTAGTCTTAAAAAATTCGAATTCAAATTTGAATTTTAAATTTCGCTCGAATTTTTGTCGGTATTTCGTGGTTACCACGGTAACCGAGTTTACCGCCCCCCCACGAGAAAAATGTTCCATTCGGAATCCAAAACCTTGCACCTCGGTCACCCTATCTCCACTGCTTTTAGTCATAAATTAAGATTCATGGGACCTTACAAACACACCCATATATAAAAACAAAGTTACAATCAAAGCTTTGGTGGTGCCGAACACTTCTTCCTCCTGTATTCGTCGGTGACGCTTCGTGAGGATCACTCGATGCTACTTCTTGGTCTCCGTCTTGGCGGAACAAACTTTTGGAACCTAGGAGCTTATGGAAACAATAGCCGGGAAGTCGTCAATGCCGACCAGATGACGCCGACGGGCAGATCGCTGCCCGGAGAAAGAACACCAATTAGGGCCCATAGAAACTCAGAAGACCATGAAAGCTGGATGAATCCAAATGGATCCTCCGAATATCCAAACCGGCCGGATCCTGGTTGACCGGCTAGCCAAACGTCCTACGCCAGTGGTAAGCACACCAACGAAAGAGGGGAAAGGGCAACAAAACAATAATTCTAAAACTGGGAAAGTGCCATCGCCGTCGCGCGGCCCCAAACCAAACATGAAGATCCCTGAAAGAAAACCTGAGATAAATTACCCACAGCGATGTATGCCAAATCCGGTTTTGAGACAGAACATGCCGCCGTCTATAGCCATTTGTTGATCCCGATCCTAGCTAGGACGGGCTGCAGTAGAAGCCCGTCGCGATGGATTCATCTGTCCTCCACCAGCTTGACCAACGGCACAATCGAGCAACGCCTGATGAAGACCTTCACTGGACCTCTCCGACTGCAGAAGCCCACCAAGACTTCCCAAGCAAATGGCCCCTGAACCGGTCCTTCCTGGTAGGTGGGACAAGAAACAGCGACAGGCAGCTAGGGTTTGGAATATCGCTTTAGCCCTCTTTCTCTCACCAAGTGTTACCTTTTAAATTATAATTGATTTGGAGAAGTGTACTTTCATGCGTGTAACTTGATTTCTTGTTTCCCCTGTGGGAGACCCAGATGTAACCTAGCTGCCGCCAGAACATACATATGCAGACCCCTCTCTATCTCTCTTACCGCCGCCGGGCGAACCCCGAGTGGCATTGGTGGCGGCGGGGTCCCGTTCGTCCCATCTCGTGATGCCATAGCTACTGCGGGGCGCTCGGTCGAGGAGGTGGTAGTCGCCGCGGCGAGAGGGCGCTAGCAGAGGCGGCCAGCACGTGGCTCGCGCACGGAGGCGCGTGGTGTGTGGGCTCAGGCTTTGCTAGAGTTGTCTATGCATGACAGACGAGCCTGGCAAGATCTATGCAACGATCCCTCTGAAGATGTGAATGCAGAAGATGGCGGCGGCGGACCATAGAGCGTGCACATACGGTGCGCGTTGAGGGACGCCTAGACCGGTTGGTACTCTTAACTTGTCAGACGGGCTGCTTTTGTCACCACTGTCTATTCATGCAGTCAGGGCATATCTTCATGCATGTAGGTGTAGCAACTTTGTTCGCCTCGAAGGTGGCTTTGATTTGATCTTTGTATTTATTTTGTCAGCCTTTCATGAATAAATTAATAAAAATGGTTGCATGCATTATTTTGATGCAGAGGCCGAGGGTAATCCTCTTTTCGGAAAAAAGAACTTGCTTTTTTGTTTACCCTGTTGCAGGTTGCATTTTCATAAAAGTAAGTTACACTTTTCTGGACCAATGGGATCTAAAAAAAAACTGAACCACTTAGAATTGGTAGAACTGTTCTAATAAATCAAGAAAGGTAAGAATGGAACATAAGTCACTATTCGCTATTGGTAGTTTATTATTTTATTTTGCAGCAACTAGTTGGCCAGGCCAACATTAATTGTGAGATATCACGCAGCTTGTCATTGGTAAATATTTTCATGAGAATCAACGAATGGAGAGAAACTTTGTCCACAAGTAATGCATTTTTTGTCTGATAATATCATGTGCCCTTGTTTCATGTATGACATAGCAAAACTTTACAAAGATGCTTGCATTTTCAAATCACTATATGTTCCACAAAATACCCCTCCTTCTTCGATTCCTCTCGCACAACACAGGAAAAGTGCTCAAGTCTGCTAGTCTAGCACGTTGTGTCTTTTGAAAAATTTGAACTGCTTATAGAATCTCTGTTTGTGGTTGACATTTTTCTTCTTATTATTTCTAGTCCGACAATCTTCAGATTCACGGAGTCATAAGCTTCTTGTTCAATTTTGGATGGGCCAAAGTGCACAAATGATAAAATAATAAGAACGAAGTTTTCTAACAAAAGATGTGGATTTCTAATGGAGTGCATGGCAGAGAGGAAAATAAAGAGACATGCATGATAAACCAAACAGTATTAGACACCGATACAAGAAGAAGACAAGATGTTTCACACATAAAACCAAAAATATGCCAGATGTAAAAAACTGAAAAGGGAGGAACCAGACAGGTGCTGGCTTAGGAGTAAGAAGTAGGGGTCCTTCATACGAACTGATTTTGATAGAGCACTTAGTAGAATTGTTGTTACCCTCCCTCAAAAGAAAAGGAGTGTTTGCATCCAGTCAGGATGGGTTGACCATACACACTCTAGGCTGAGCATCGTGCCTTTGCATGAAGGGATAATGCATATCTAAGGATGTTACAGCAGAGAAGATATATATTGCCATTGATAAATAATGATTATCAGAAAAAATTAATTCATCAATCCCAGTGAAAAGCATTGCTCGTACGTAGTTGGCTAAGTGGTACAACAAAGATTACAACACAAATGAATAAAATGAACCGACGAGCGAAAACCTTAGTGGAAAAAAAACTAGAATGGAAGATCAGAAGGCACACGCAAAAACCACGACTGAATATATAGTCTCCACCCTTGAGAGATCATCAACCGGTGTAGGGCTCGTTCACGAACCCGCACTTCTTCCTGATCTGGCCGTTGGTGCTGTTCTTCACCTCGATATTGCCCATTTTCACCATGGCATCCTCGAAATGTCTGTACCACAAGAAATCTCCGATCAACCACCAAGTGTACTTTTCCACCAATTCCTTGGTCTTTGGTGACGTCATGAGCGTTGCGTCGGAGGTGAAGAGCACTTTGCGATCCATCACGTTCCTGTAGTACTAGCTGTCCAGCACGTCGGGGGTCTTGTAGTCCTGCGGCACCGTTGGATCACTACCGGCGGGGCAGTCCTGAGTCAGCTTCCCAGCGTAGGTGGCGTCCATCGATGTGGTGGAGTTGTCGTTGGCCGGCGGCTGGAGACGGTCACGGAAGGAGGAGCAGTGGGAGCGGCCGATGCTGTGCGCGCCGGAAAGTGCAACCGACATTTTGGCTGAGTCCCTGCTTGGCGAATATTTGTGTGAGGATAGTCAGGTTGGCGAAAGGTGGGGGAAGGTTCGGGAGGGTCTCATCTTTGAGGGACACCAATCCGTCATAGCGGCCGGCCGGCATGCTGAAGTTTATTTTGTAGCCGCTGAGTAACTTGCTGGCGTCACGGCCTGCGAAGGCGACGATGTCGGCGCAGGAGACGACACCAGGACATTTTTCCTCGATCTTCTTCTTGGCCGCCTCTATCACTTCGAAGCCACGCAGGCTCAAGTTTGGGATACCAAGCATCTCCGGTTCAGGCTTGCCAACGACCTTGTTCAGGAGGACAGAGGCATCACAACCCTGAAAGCAACGATACCATAGTTAGCTTCTCAATCGTGCAGTGCACAACTATAGGCGTATATCAATCTCTCAAACTTCACTTGCGTCTGAATGTATGTGTACCTGGACAAAGCAGTCGTGGAAGAAGAGACGGATGAGCCCGGCCTTCACGCCGGCGGTGGCGTTGCGCACGGCGTCCAGCACGATCTTCTCCGCGTCAGGGCACTTGTCATTGTAGTAGCCGACCTTGAGCCCAGTGGCAGGTGGAGGCTGGGTAGAGGTAGAAGCCGGTGGGGGCGCGGGTGTGGTGGGAGTGGGGCTGGGATAGACCGGGGTAGGAGAAGGGCTCGGGGAGAGAGTAGGAGGTGGAGTAGGACTCGTCGGAGGAGAAACCGG